AAGTCGGAAACAAGTTTCAGATGAATTAAGGCTGATGTTTGTTGCTAAGGGAACGTTAAAACTTCAGCCTAGCAAGTCGGAAACAAGTTTCAGATGAATTAAGGCTGATGTTTGTTGCTAAGGGAACGTTAAAACTTCAGCCTAGCAAGTCGGAAACAAGTTTCAGATGAATTAAGGCTGATGTTTGTTGCTAAGGGAACGTTAAAACTTCAGCCTAGCAAGTCAGAAACTAGTTACAGATGAATCAAGGCTGATGTTTGTTGCTAAGGAAACATTAAAACTTCAGCCTAGCAAGTCGGAAACAAGTTTCAGATGAATTAAGGCTGATGTTTGTTGCTAAGGGAACGTTAAAACTTCAGCCTAGCAAGTCAGAAACTAGTTACAGATGAATTAAGGCTGATGTTTGTTGCTAAGGAAACATTAAAACTTCAGCCTAGCAAGTCGGAAACAAGTTTCAGATGAATTAAGGCTGATGTTTGTTGCTAAGTGAACGTTAAAACTTCAGCCTAACAAGTCAGAAACTAGTTACAGATGAATTAAGGCTGATGTTTGTTGCTAAGGAAACATTAAAACTTCAGCCTAGCAAGTCAGAAACAAGTCACGCAGTTGAATCAAGACTGATGTTTGTGGCTAAGGAACTTTGTTGAAAAAGAGTGATTTGTTTATTTTATGTAATGTTATATCTCCGAGGCTTTGATTTGTTACCATATATATGTATGTGTTTTATTCATCACATGATAAGTCCCTATGGAGCAACTACAAGTGTGTGTGTATATATATAACTAGGAATGAAATGCACCACTTTAAGTTGCTCTATTAAGAACGGCGCCATCTTGTCTGAGTTAGCCTTCACCCATGCTCCAACACACAAGTTAAACTGTTATGCTTCACAAGGACAGGATCGGAGTGGTGATAACGTTACAATGCCTATGGAACCTTTAAGTTAAATATCTCCCATCAAATACGGGCTCTCAACTGTTTCTCTTTGTCTAGATCAAATTTCTCGATAGATTTATTGTAAGTATTTTGTCGAGAAACTGAAAATGCAGTTTCTGTCTAATATTTAGTTTTTCTTTTATATTTTAAAAAAAGTTTTACCGATTAATTACCTAAACCTCGGATATATTCAAAAGGTTGGAAGTTTAATTGGTTGTGTTACAATATTACTAGAGTTACTTAGATATCACCAGAAAGATGTTCGGTACATAATAATCTACAGTTAAATATTTAACTGATAGCTTCGTTGCCTTTTCTAAACGTGTAGCACCTGGAATAAACACACACTCCACACTTCTTCACGTTTAATAATATTTATTTTGATATTTATAGAGTGCGATTTCATAATATCTGGACTGCTCCAAGTCAGTTAGTAAAATAAAGTAACGAAAAACTAACGTGTTGAATTCCACCAATCTTTCTCATCACTTATTTAAGTTATTTTCCGCCACCTATTTACCTGCAAAATATATCAGAAATTACCCCTCACATTTACCTTCAAAAAAAGCTGCCTCGATGAGGATTGTCGATTAGTGGGGGAGGGAGGGCGTCCTTTGAGAAAAGGAAAGGTCGCGTTCGACAAAGTGGTTCAAAGGACAGATAGTTCCAAAATGTGCCATTAGGGACGTATAGTTCCAATATACGCTGTCAGGGGTGAATAGCTCCAAGTTATGTTTCTAGGGGTGAATATAGTTTCAAATTATACTAGTGGGGCCATGAGGCGAGATAAGATGTTTGTTATGTGGTTCGCGAGTGAGCCACAAGAAGGGATTGTCGAACCTGTCTGAACACGTTTGTCAAGTTGTGTGATGTTATATAAAAAAAACAACACTATTTCATTCTATACAGTTCTTAACACATTATTTGTTCTGCATTATTTTTCGGGTTAACTTTGGACTTTATAAAATCCCTTCACTATTCAATAATATACAAAGTGTTTTGAATACGTAAATGTAATATTTTATGTATTACATATTGATTAATTGTATAGTGATTATCTATGTACAAATTTCTTGACAAAACATTTGATATCTGAATATTATTTCATTAGATTTATAGCTTCGTTTTTATGATTAATATATTATATATTTTTTCAGCTCTTCGCCCTGAGAAGAGCGTTGTTTGAATTCTCTATGTTATTTATACAAAACACTAAACGTGTATTCATGAAATTATATTTCATTATGTTTCATTATGTTTCTGATTAGTTGTTGGGTATATAAATTTGAAATAGTAAAATCTAATTTCACTCTATAATGAATAAAGGATTCGAACAAATCTCTTATTTATCATTATGAAATACGTTATATTTCTACTTATATAAAACCCCAAATATGTTATCGTTAATATATGTTAGTTAAATCACAGACTTAACGAGATGGAACAAAACTTTTAGTTTCGAATACACAACAATCAATTGAAATAAATAACACAGAATAACCTTTAAACGTTATTCTCTTTGAATATAACTATGATTTAATAATAATAATGGACACACGTGGCTCTACTAACTACAGTAGCTCAAGTGGTCCTGACTGGTAGCTTTAACTTCTTGATGGCCAATTCTTAGAATCACATATATATTGGGTTCGGAGTGAGAGCTTGTACTATGCTGCTACGTCATGTTATTACGGAGAACTTTTCGACATTGGCAAATTCTAAGGAACACATACATTTTTTTATTTAATTTAGCAGAATTCTAATCCTGGTAGCGACTTCCTGTGAAAGTGTGTCGGACACATCGTAAACTGTAGTCAAGTTAGATTACAATCACTCTGAATCCATCGGTCAAACAAAAAACGTCTATTTGTGATACTTCTTGGAATTATTCGGCTGCTGTAAGTATTATCTTATGTTTTGAAAGAATGAAACAAGCAGTACTACAGATCTACTTTTAATATTATAGATGAATTATACCGATACATTTTTTTTTATAATTTAACCATATTTCTACAGAATACGATCCATTAGCTGGTGAGAGCTGGACTTCCAACTGAAGACTCTAGCAACTGAAGAGACTGCAAATGTTAGAATCTGAAGCTCTTTGACGTATAGAAATGATAAGCCGAATTCATATTGTTTTATATAATAATGGTTTATACATGATTAATACATTTGTTTTATAATTTAACCATATTTCTACAGAATACGATCCATTAGCTGGTGAGAGCTGGACTTCCAACTGAAGACTCTAGCAATTGAAGAGACTGCAAATGTTAGAATCTGAAGCTCTTTGACGTATAGAAATGGTAAGCCGAATTCATATTGTTTTATATAATAATGGTTTATACATGATTAATACATTTTTTTCTTACAATCTTCCTGCCATAAAAAGGCTAGTAACATACAGTCTTACTGCCCACTTAAACTTACAGCCTATAATATGCAAGGTGTGGTAAGTGTTATACTTAAACAGATTTAAATATTAGTATATCTGAAACTTTAGAAGCTCAAATGAGTATAAGTTGTTTTTATAAAACTATACTGATATATGTTTAATACTTTGTTCAGTATTATTATTTCTACATAATTAAATAATCGCATATAATTATTATTAATATTTCTTTCTTTTACAGGCATCTGTTAAAAGTCCCGCACAGAAAACAGTCAATTCAATATTAGAAAAATAGTAAATGAGCGTCTAAAAAACAACAACTTGTAATGCTACTTCTATCACATACAATGTATCATTTAAGCAGGAATTATACGGGCAACGTCTCACAAACACTGGTAAATTCATTTAATCAAAACGTTCAGAATATACTGGATGAGATCATATCATATCTACTCAATAGAGACAAAGTAAGAGTATGTATCTTTTCCAAGAATCTAGATAACCCATCAGTACGTGTTTACAGAATAAGGATGTGTTTTCACCAGGAAATATCCTGAAAAAATAAATTAATTAAAACAATTAAAAAGGATATATCATTGGATGAAACATTTAAAATTGAAGTAACTACATTGGAATTGACGAAATATTTAAAACTTAAGTAACTACATTGGAATTGACGAAGTAACATTTAAAATTGAAGTAACTACATTAAAATTGAAGTCACTACATTGGAATTGTTAGAAGGTAGCGGTAGGCATAAGATAACTAATATTTATAATGATCGACTGAAAAAAAAGATTAGCTATAGCCATAAAAAATAATAACGATGTCTGCTATTTTAGCTTTAGCATCGCTCAGAAATCATCCTAAATATAAATGTATTGCTAATAAACAAAGACCGATACTTACATCGAGATTTGAACGATATCTAAACGTTCAAATTAATATTGTTTTTCAAACAATTTCACCCGTGTTATACATAAAGGTCCTTCATATCATGAACAGATTTTCCCCTGGTTTCATAATAACCATTTGGAATTCATCACATCAATGAAGGGTTTCCTTGGGGAATTCGTAGTTTAAATAATCATCTTTGTACAAATTATTGTAACTTTTCAATGTACAAATGATCAATCCTTAGTTTGTGCTGATTGTAACAAGTTGTTACAACAGACACAAAACAAAGAACAAATATTAAACAATAAGTTTGCAAAATTTTATTAATATGAAAAAAATGTTTTGTCATCATTGAAATGACAAACCTTTGTTCAGATTTTCATCGATGTAGTGAAATAAGATGTGTAGGATGTAAATGTTTTGTCATACCGCCTAGTTATTTATGTTTTCTCCAATCTAAAGATGTCATATATTTCTCTAAGATATATTTATTTTTTATTTTGAAAAGGACCAAGAAACTGGAACTCACAAGATGAATTACTGTGTGGTCCACGATTTTAATGGTAAGGAAACAGTGTTTAAAGGTTATAATTCATGTGCTGAGTTTTGTAAATGCTTATTTTCCGAGAAGCATAAGAATTATACAGCCTTAGCTCATAACAAGAAATGATTGTACTGACACTTTGTTTTAAATTATCTTATTCGCCAAGGAATAAATCCTCACATTGTTGTTAATGGTAGAAAAATAACGATCATGACTGTCAAAAACCTGAACATTAGAATTACAGATAGTTTGAATTTCATCCCAATAGTCTTTTAATCATTGTACCCTAAAATGTTTGGTTTAGATAAGTTACAGAAAGGATATGTATCGGATCAAACCAGAAGTATCGAGGACACATACCTGATATCAGCTTCTATTCTCCTGAATCCACATTAGCACCTGTGGACACATATCTGATATCAGCTTCTATTCTCCTGAATCCATGTCAGCACCTGTGGACACATACCTGATATCAGCTTCTATTCTCTTGGGATCCATGTCAGCACCTGTGGACACATACCTGATATCATCTTCTATTCCTCTGGGATCCATGTCAGCACCTGTGGACACATACCTGATATCATCTTCTATTCCTCTGGGATCCATGTCAGCA